TATATATATATATATATATATATATAAAAACATATATAAAACAACTTTAAATTTTATTCTTGGGTAAGATATTAAATAGTGGAAAGAAAATGTACACTCCATCTTGAATATAACTTCTTTGAATTCATAGCTTCTGCAGACATTGCTGTACTTACTGTGTGTCATAATTGATGCTGCAGCCCTGTTTGTCCCTTCTCAAGAGAAGAGAGTATCATCTCTAGTGCTGCCTATTAGAGATTTCATCTTCTCTGCATACGTATTCCCAGTTGGCTTAGTAAGTAATTACAATACCTGCTATTATTCAAATAATACCATACTGTACTATAAGTCCATTGAGGTTGGGTCAAATTTGCTTAAAGGTTCATGAGATTTTAGATGGTTTTCTTATCTTAAGAACCACATTATCATTTCCATAATCTTACATTTTTATTGAAGTTATACTGACTTGTTTACTGATAAAATCAGCAAAACTGACATTGATTTCTCAGTGGTAAGCTCATAGTTATGGGCTGGTTATCATTTATTTTGCCCTTCTGTATAGCACCAAAAATCTTTTTCACTTTAGCATTTGTCTAAGAAAATCAGTGGCTTTGTTATTTAAAGCAGTAATTTGAGGTCTTAGCCTATTGAAGAACAGTAAACAGATGGGAGTCAATAAATTGACAGTTCTCATAATGAAGGGTCATAAACAGGTGTTTTTTGAACCCGGTTCTTTTTTTCTTGTTCATAAATGATACAAAGTTAGAGATAAGCAATACACTAAATTATTTAGAGTGTTTAAAAGGAGGAAAGCACTGAAAACCTTCAGGAATAATCTACAACTGGGAAAATGGGAACGGGAATGGAAGGTGTTGTTCAATGAAACAAATGTAGAACACTTGGATAAAATACCTTAACTTTACATATACATTAGATCTAAATACTTATTGGGTGGTGATAGATGGCTCAGTGAAAAACTAATATATATTCTGCCAGTTATGAATAAAGTAGATTACATGCTGGAGATGTTTAGTATTAAAAAATAAAACAACAAATGTTGTAATGCTTGTGTTTAAATCCATAATGCAGTTGCACTTAGAATGCTATGTCCATTTCTGGTCATTCCATCTCAGAAAGGATATTGTACAGCCAGAAAAATTCAGAAGAGGGCAACTGACGTTAGCAAGGATTGGAAGTTCCCATAAGAAAAGGATTGAGGCTTTAACTTAGAAAAGAGGCAAAGAGAAGACATAATATAATACAATGTAGTGATGCCTAATGGCCTTGGGTGTTTTTCAATGTGATTAAATTCATGAAGGAAAAGACTATCTGTGGCTATTAATTTGCAGCATATATTTTACCTCTAATAACAAAGGCAGTATTCCCTTCAGTGTCACTTGCTGGGAAACAGAAACGGGGGGCGGGGGAGGGGGGTTATTTTGCTCCTGTCCTGTGTGTCAGTTTCCCTTTGATATCTGGTGGGCTACTGTAGAATGTAATGCTAAATTAGATCATTGTTCCATCTGATGCAGCACTACTGTTATATAACTCATAATTGTACATCTGCCAAATGAAAAATGTGTGGATTGGTTCTCAAAGTGGTTTAATTGATTCTTAAAATTAATTGACTTTCTAATAATAGCTGCCCTTTTTATTCTTTCCAACCCAATGGAATGTTGGAAAGAAATTATGTGAAACAACTTTGGACTTTGTCAGCAAGATAACTAATTCCAAAACTATAACAGAATGGGACCAGAAGTGGTGGGAGAAGCTGGCAAAAGAAAGATTAAATTTGAAAAAGGGCAAGATTTGGTATGGAGCTGTGGAGAAAAACTTTTCAGAAAAAAATTTCCCAAGTGCAACTCTATAGGAAAAGCTGTTGGGCAGTAGCTCAGAAAGTTGGTGATTGCTCCATTCTAAGATCCTCTTTTCCTTGGTGGTAATGTAGCCCACAGCATTCAGTGTGCAGTTCCCCCTGTGCTTCCCAGTGCTCATGGATATACTACCGCAGTACACAGGGAAATCAGAAAGTAACACACGTCCAACATGCTACTTCATTACACAGAAGAAAATACAGATACCTTCTATGGCCGTTGCTGTTAAAGGGGTTAGAAAGAATTTGCTCTGCAGGCTTTTATTATAGTTTAAATCAGCTTGCTTCATTCCAAAACAGTTCTAACAAATGTGTTGCCATTTGGAGTATATTAAAAGTAGCTTGAAAAGGATAAATAATATAGCTTTTACCATTCTGTTTTACTTAGAAGTACAGTAAGTATCACTGGAGAGGCAGTTTGGTGTAGTGGTGAAGGTACCAGGCTAGAAACCAGGAGACCATGAGTTCTAGTCGCTTCTTAGGCACAAAGCCAGCGGGGTGATCTTGGACCAGTCACTCTCTGTCAGCCCTAAAAAGCAGGCAGTGGCAAACCACTTCCAAAAGTGCTGCCAAGAAAACTGCAGGGACTTGTCCAGGCAGTTGCCAGGAGTCAATACTCACTTGAAGGTGTCCAAAAAGAAAAAAAAGTATCAGTGAATAGTTTTTATAAAATATTTCTAGGATCTAGCGGTAAAGCTGCAATCATGCTAGCTTTAAGTAAAAAAACACTGAATAGAGTGGGACTTCTTTTTAGGTAGATAGGGACTGAAATGCACATTGAACAGTGTTCATTTATGGGCAATCCTAAATTGGGATTTTCAAACTTTTTTAGGCAGTTGGAGACTTAGTTAAAACAATAAATTCCCAGAACCACCGATCAAAAGACAAAACTCAAATGATAAAAATGGGCAATAAAATGAAACTTGTATACCTTATAACTTATTTATGCAAATGTATATATTAAAGTTATTTGCATGTCACAACATTGAATGCCTCAATTATTGTCTCAGAAAGTTCCTCCACTTTTTAAGTATAAAAAGTATTTCCAATGCACAAAAATTATAACTTGAGTTTTACGATGGGAGGTTAATGTTTTAACCAAGTAAATCAGCATTGTATGTCTGTTGCTTTTTCTTGAAAGAATTGCTAGGGACGCCCGTAACGGCATTCAAATGAGGGCTTTGTTTTCTGTTTTTGTTCTTCCCTTAGTCTCTCATGGAACCCTAGGGTTCAGTGGAAAACTGAAAAACCCTTTCCTAAATTATGTGCTTTAATAATGGGGATTGTGCAGCATTTATTATTAAAAGATAGATTATTTATTTATTCAATTTATATAGCCACCCATCTCACAGTAGTGACTGTGGGTGGCTAACTAAGTTAAAACTCAATAAAACAACCAAGGACAATAAATATACATACAGTGACAGTCAAGGACAACAGTCACAACACTAGCACCTATTTCACAGATCTCCATTAACCTCCTTGATCTAGCAAACATTTTTTTTTCCTAAAAAAGTCTGAGAAAAATCATGTCCTGGTATTCTAAATCATTGGGAAATCTTATTGTTTTCTCCAGCAGCACATTCATTATTTCGATGAGTATTATATGGGCCATCATTCTTTACATCATCCCACACCCTATGTCATGTATGTATTTTAAAAATAATTTTTCAATTACTTTTAACATCTCAAACTCTGGTTGTTTCTTGGCTCTACTACTACAGCAGAAGAATTCCAATACTTATTTTTTATTTAACTGACAGTTGTCAATTTTTTTTCCACCATATTCTGTGCTTTTAAGGAGAGATTAACCTTTATTATTATTTATTATTTTTGTTGTAGTATGAGCCTATAGTTTTTAGTGTCTTGATCTATTTCCAGCTATATCACAGGAGCTTAACAATTAGATTTGAACCAGATGGCCATCAATGGTCTTTGCAGTATTGAGTGAGTATTGTCATATAGAATGTATGGTTATAGTGGTCTGTGAAAATTGTTGGAGACTCCAATTCACTCAGGCCATGAATGAGTAAAAAGTGCTTCATCCTCTTCTGGGTGTTTTTACTGGATGCTTTTTACTAGAAATTCAAAGATTTCTGTAACTTGCGAGGCAAAATTCAATGTGCTTATCTGAATCTGCAACTTACATAATATCTGAATTCTAAGACATTTTATCTTTTCCTCATCAATATCAATTGCAATCCTAAAATTATTTTCATTATTCTGGTTTTTATCATTCTGACTGCCCAAATACTTGAGATTTAGCCTAATGAAGACTTCCTCATCTTGCCAGGTAGAACTTCAAAGGTATTTTTATGTGACCTAGACATCCCAATTTTTTTTAAAAAGGCATTTCCAATATATTATGAATTTTCACCTTGCAGCATTTTCTCACTCTTAACCCACAGTGCCATTCTACAATCAGAAAAGAGCCCAGAGATTGCTTCCTCAATAATTAGAAATACTCTTTTCAATATTTAATCCATTTCTTGGTCCAATTTAACACATGCTGTATCACATAAACATGCATAGGTGACTCATGAGCGAAGCCATTATTTATAACTCCTGGGTGGGAGGAAGGGGGATGAAGTTAACAATACATTCATTGTAAAAATGAAGGGAATAAATACTACTGAATAAATAGAAATAGGGAAGCCTAGGAGGTTGGGGACATGAGTGGTATAGAAATGTCCTTTTTTTCCTCCTTCCTGGCATGGTCCTGAAAAAATTGCCTCTGCAGATCGGCTGCTTATATTTCTGATGAGAATTTACATAAAACATCATGTTAAAAAGTACACAATAGTGTATTTCGTTTGATTCTTCAAGGCAATAGATTTGCTGTGAAATTGAGGGGGAGGGGGGCTTATAAATTAAATAACTAATAATAATTTATTAAATTTATATGCCGCCCAACTCCCAGCAAATCTATGGATTCAGATACAATTGTATCTTGCACTGCATGATCCAGAACATGTTTTGAAGGTTCAATTTTTAATATTCGTTTACCTGGAGAAATGAAAATAAAAACCATACCCTATGTTCACAGATATTCAAAGGCAGTCTATAAGATGTTGACTACAGATTTCTAAAATTTTCCAACATTTGAAATTCTCATTAATATTCAGATGTTTTCTCTTAGTTTGTAGCTGTTGCTTTCTGGGGCCTTTATGCATATGACAGAGAACTAGTGTACCCTAAAGAGCTTGATAACATTAATCCAGATTGGCTTAATCATACTATGGTAAGTATTTGAAGCTCAGTATCCTTCTTTTGGCACATGCAATTTGTTATGCACTTGATAATTGGTACTTTCCAAATTATTATGGGAATCTTGCTTTTGGGCTACTTTTAATATAATGCTAGCCTGTGATTTTACATTATATACATAAGCTGTGGTGAGGATTATTTCCTCTTCTTCATGTGATAGAATATGTATGTATGTATGTATGTATGTATGTATGTATGTATGTATGTATGTATG